ATCTACACAATAATCGTCCATCAATTACACAAAATCAATACACCCACTTTAGGCCAAATTTAGAGAATTTGAGAAAACATGGGTTCATGGGAATTTCTTTCTAAAAACCATTAATAATCATTAATAACCATATAAATCATCATTTAAAACCTTTTTATGCAAGAACTCATGCTAGAATCGAAATAGGTTTTTGTGTGTATTTGAAAAACCTTGAAAACCTTTTGATTGGGTTCCTTGAAAGAAAGAATAATCAAGGATAAGGATCCCCATACCTCTAAGTTGAAAACCCACGAAAATTGGAGAAGAAGCACTCGAAATCTTCAACCCTAGCTCCAACTCCTCTTCTTCCTTGAGTTAGAGAGAAATATTTGAGAGAGGGAATGATTTTTGGAAATTCTAAGAGGAGTGACTTAAATGAAAGGAATTAAGTCATAAAAAGGTCTTATAGTTGCTAGGAAAAGAATAAAATAACATAGGGTCAATTTTGGAAAAGGACTAAGGACCCATAAAGTCTTAACTTAAAAATTCTACCCCTTCCCGTCTTAGTTCGCCCTTTTTTTTTCAGCCTGACAGTGCTTCAATATTTCAGGCATAACCTTTTACTCCAAGGTCGGAATTGGGCAAACTCGGTGGCGTTGGAAAGAGGACTCAAAGACCTTTAATTGGATAGGTAAAGGTCCACCTAATTCATTTTGAGCTAAAAGATATGACCATTTAAAGTTGACCGTTACAACTCACTAGTTCAAATGACTAGTTTCCGGACGTCAAGGTCATTTCTCATCATTTCATCAAGTTCTTAACTCCAAACTCACATGTGAGGCTCTAGTTTCACTAGCTCATTTTTAGGGTCGTTACACATACATTTCAACATGTAGCATAGAAAATATAGAAGATTCAGACCCAAACGTGTCAGCAAAACACAAGTACCTTGACATTCCAAAAAACTCATTTTCTGTGCATTTCTCAAAGTTTTTGCTCTTTGTTTTCCTTCATCAGTTAGAGTTATATCTTATTTCTTGTGATAATGGGTATCAAAATGACTCCATTTATTCAGGCTAATCGAATTCTAAGGAGGTCTTCAACATCTAGAGGTGTTCCAAAAGGACATTGCACAATATATGTAGGAGAGAGCCAGAAGAAGCGATTCGTCGTGCCAATATCATACTTAATCAGTTAGAGTTATATTTTATTTCTTGAGATAATGGGTATCAAAATGACTCCATTTATTCAGGCTAATCGAATTCTAAGGAGGTCTTCGACATCTAGAGGTGTTCCAAAAGGACATTGCACAATATATGTAGGAGAGAGCCAGAAGAAGCGATTCGTCGTGCCAATATCATACTTAATCAGTTAGAGTTATATTTTATTTCTTGAGATAATGGGTATCAAAATGACTCCATTTATTCAGGCTAATCGAATTCTAAGGAGGTCTTCGACATCTAGAGGTGTTCCAAAAGGACATTGCACAATATATGTAGGAGAGAGCCAGAAGAAGCGATTCGTCGTGCCAATATCATACTTAAGCCATCCTGTATTTCAAAACTTGCTGACTTATTTGGCTTTGATCATCCAATGGGAGGTCTTACAATACCATGCAAAGAGGATATGTTCATTGATCTCACTTCCCGCTTGAGGAGATTATGAGTAGGAACATGGTGCAAATTCTTCTGCCCATGAAATTCTGTAAAGTAACAGGATTAGAAATGAGATGGTAGAAAATTATTCCTTGTTTTTTCTTAACCATTTTGTATAGTAATAGTAAACAAAGATCTAAATTTCTGCTTGTAAAGGATATAGCCAAGTTTTACTTGAGCAAAAAATTTCAAGTCACTTGATTAGAAGACTCAAACCTTTGTGTTGGTGGATGTTAAAATTCCTAATTTTACAAGTTTCAGATACATTGTAAATTCCCTTTTAGACTCCGCGTCGTGTGTAGAAGGGGTTTAAACTATAGAATTTCATTGAATATAAGAGTTCAGTCGACAAAAGGTGAAGCCAAAATTAATTTGTACAGCCTCTCCCTCATTTTTCTCATCCTTTTGCCTCTTTCGACGAAAGAAAATCGTCAGACAATTTTCGAATGGAGTAAATTGGGATGCTATAAATTGGAGTTCTAGGCAATCAAAATTGAACTACATTTTTGCAGAGATGTTTGGAGTTGGTAAAAATGGTGGAAAAAGGCATTTCATTTCCATGTATTGCATCAAACTGGAACTCTTTTGTTCCTCCACAACTACACCCAATTTAATGCCAGAATTTCTAGTGAATTCACTTGGGTTCTCCACAGAGAAAGCCATTTCTGCTAGCTCCAAGGTAACTTGCTTGAAACCCGGAAACAATAAGCCTAATTTAGTTCTCAATTTCTTCAAACAAATCGGTTTAGACAACACCCAGATAAAAATCTTGGTTTATCCTTCGCCCAGATTGTTGTTTGCTGATGTCGGAAAAACCCTTGAACCCAAAGTTAGGGTTCTTCAAGAAATTGGCTTATCTGGGTCGGATTTAGTTAGGGTTATTTCAAAAAGTGGACCTTTTCTTAGAACAGGTCTCGATACTAGCATTAGACCTAGTCTTGAATATCTTAGGAAGTTATTGGGTAAAGATGAGGCTGTAGCTAAAGTTCTTAAGAGATCTCCTGCATTGCTTCATTATCGTCTTGATAGAGTAATGGCACGTAATATATTGTTTTTTCTAAATCATGGATGTTCCAGTTTGGATATTGAAAAGCTTATTCTTAGAAATCCGACAATTTTTGTTCAAAAGCTTGAGTGGCTTGAGGATATAGTGCAAAGAGTGGAGAAGGATTTTTGCATTTGTAGGGATTCCCGGATGTTTTATTATGGAGTGGAAATGCTTTCCTCGCTTAGTAAGTTGAGTTTAGAAATGAAACTTGGAATTTTCAGGAGTTTTGGTTGGTCTGATTCTGATATTATTACAATGGTGCAAAGGCTTCCTTTATGTTTGACTACATCTGAGGTTAAGCTGAGAAATGTATTGAAGTTTTTCATGGAGGAGCTTGGGTATGAATCTAGTTACATAGCGAGGCATCCCACACTTATAATGTTCAGTTTGGAGAAGCGGGTATTGCCCAGGATTAAAATCTGGCAACTTCTAAAGGAGAAACAGGTGATAAAGAAAGTGCCATGTTTTTATACAGTTATCAAGTGTTCTGAGCGGGAGTTTTTAGAAAATTATGTCCTTCCCGTAAGGGACGAGATTCCTGAGGTATATGAGTTATACATCAAAAGTAGAAACTAAGATAGAGTAAGCTTATTGTTTTCTCTCATACATGGATTTCTTGGTTTACGAAAAGTATTCACTGAATGTTTTCCAAGCTAACTGCCAGACCATTACTGTTTTTAGTTTTAATTGTATTTCTGGCTGCTATTGTGCCAACATTTTTCATTCTGGTAATTGAAGACATTATCTTTGTGAAATTGTGTCATTTTTTTTTGGTTTGACAACAGAAAAAGTGAATGTCTTAACGAGGGTGATTCTTGTTTATTACTGATAATGAGGTATAATTGCTCCTTAAGACACTGATACATGAACCGGTGAAGTTGAGCAAATACTCCAGGTTAGATTGGATCTCGAGATAAATTATCTCTTTATCTAAAGGAAAAAAAAAGGGGGGGGGGGGGGGGGGGGGGGGGGGGGGAGAAACGCTTGGATGTCAAGATGCTTGATTTAGCGCAGCCATGTCACTTTACCCTGCATTTCACAATTTTTAAGTACACTCTTATGCTTGGTGCCTGCTTGTCACGGATTCGATGTAATAAGAGAAAGAACCACAATCACAAAAGGACATAACGGATGCAAGTCACCTTAAATTGGGTTAACCCGTGGTACCTAAGGGAGAGAGAAGAAAAAATGAGAGCAGTTACATTTAGCTACAGCAGTGTCAACAAGATCAGATTTATTTTCGTCCTTATTGTGACAGCACTTGTTTCCAAAACATCTTTCTTAACTTCCTCAGTATTTCATGAACCTGGAGAGCATCTACTATGTCGAGAAAACTGCACTCAATTTCTTTCACCCTTCTGTATTTTTCTTGGTTAAATACCATTGCATTTATTTCAGTGTCTGCTTCTCCTATTATTTACTTAAATAGCTATCTTGCGCCTATGTTAGATTCTGGATAATCCATCTCAGCCAAGTACCATCTCACAATTTTCCTTATTTCATTAGAGGGAATTTTTTATCATTATATTCCCTCAGAATGCAGTTGACGTTTGTGTTGTAGGTTCTAAAGACTCCTCAGTACCTTCATTTTCTTGGGTAACTTCAGCATCATATTCATTTCATTATTAGAAGACTTATTCTTTTCATATGCATAAAGATTCCGCTATGATGGTAACCATAATTTTCATTGGCATTTTAGGCGTTTCTCAGTTCTTGATATACTGGGTAGTGCCTTTTTGTGGGTTTTGACTCAAGATTACTCATGATGTATTGGTTTCTTCACTTTCTGAAATCTTGCTTAAGAGTTTTGAAGATGAGGTAAGGCCCGTGGCAAAGGCATATTTGGTTGATTACAAATTTTCTTTCAACGTGTGTTGATCATATCCTTGTGTATTTTGGTTGATTGATTAAAAGGTGTTTAACTTTGTGGTTGTTAATTGACAATTTGGTATAAACATTGAAGTTTAGAACTAGAATTCTAACTGGGGAAATAAATCACTCTCTTTCGTCTCTTGTCCCCCTAGGGTAGAAGAGAATGCTTGTTAGTGTACAAGAAATACTAGTGGTATGGTCTCTGTACTTTGTAACAGCAAAGTGCGTACACATAGCTGAAGTTGATTTGGGTTGAGAAATGAAAGTAACTCTTAAAAATGCAGGTCACTGTGGGTAAAGGTTCTGCCATGGTCAGGGTACTCCATAGCCTCTAAATCTCTTCCATGTTCTATACTTACTAGTTTACTACTCCCTATCAACTCTAGTGCACTGGTTTCTGTTCTGTGAGGGGCCAATCAAGCAGGGATGGATTCAGGGTGTTGAGTGGGGGTTCTCGGGAACCCAATAACTTTTGCACGGATCCTGTATTTGTATTGAGAAATCCAGTAAATATATAAGAATTACGAGTTGGGAACTCATAAACGAAGTGCATTGTTGATCTATTGGCATTTGGCAGAAAAGGAACTTGTAAAGCTCTACTGCCTTCTTGGTTGAGGTTAGAATCCCCTTGGTCACCAATCACCATGTAGGCTTTTGTTGCCTCCTTTTATTTTTTAAATTTGGTAGAAACTCTCAAACTACAAGTTCTGGATCCGCCTATGTTAAGTGGAGGCAATCAGTAAAGAAGTAAGCATGTACTTGAAGATTGAGCTAATGTTTGAGGTTTCTGGAAAACGCTAAACTAAGCGCTCTCTGTCTCACACCACTCTTTTGTTCCTTCTCAAATGAAGTGATGAATTTATGTCCATTTATCAGTTTAGGAGTTGTGCTCTTAACAGTTTTGCAGGCTGGCTTTGAGTTATTCGACATATGACAGCAATAAGGTCTTCTTTCCAAATAAAAATTCACTTGAATGAAGTGATAAGCGCTCTCACTGAACTTAGTAGATTGACAACTTGTTGAGTCCTTGTGTTGTTGCACCAGAAAAATATATATTCAAGAATGATACATCTGTGATTAAAGCTTGTGACTTGGAGTAGAAGAATTGGTTTTGTAGGCTATTTACAATATTTTTTAAAATTATTATTTTATGTCCTTTTTACAAAAGATTTGGAAAAGGTCATTTTTTAAATTTATTTTGTAAGTGGTCAAGAGATTTGAATTCCGGAGCAGTTGTAGAACTGCCTTTGTCACTCTCAAAGAAACAAATATCCTATCATAATTAAGAATAAAATTGTACGGTTCATTCAGTTTGTCACTTTGTTTCTAAGTGATTTTTCAGTAATTTTTTTTGTCGAATTTTAACAGTTAAATCGGTAATTATACAAATAACAATCAATAATTGATAAGTCAATATTTTAATAGTTCTATAACAATTTAGCATGTTTATGAATCGATAAGTTAAATTAATTAACTTTAAAATTGAACCAAGCTAATCGATAATAGCTCTGATAAGCATTCTCCATTTCTTACTGTATAGTTGTGGATTCAATTTATCAAAGGGACCAAAAGGAAAATTAAAATAAAATAAAAAAAGAGAGAAGAGTAGTTTGGCTATTTGATGAGTTGATTACCGAAAATAATCTATTAGATGTTTGAATTTAAAAAGTCAATGCGTTTAATTTAGTTAGTTATGCACGATACATAATGATCTAATTATTTGTGCTATTAGTTATGTGATATGAACATATCTAACACTTTCTTATAGATGGTGTTTTTGGAGTACATTTTATTTCGCTATTATAATTAGAAAATTATTTAAAGAGCGGAAAAATTATTTTTATAGGATAAAATTTGAATTTGATAAATAATTGAATAATATGATGATATGTAGCATCTAAACTAGTCTTGAAATTGGAAAGATAGTTTATCTAGCATTAAAAATGAGATATCAAATACAGGACATTAAATAAATGGGATAAATCGAGTATCAAACCATTACAAAAAGTCAAGATCTTCGCCAATTGTTTCTACTTTACAATTTAATGAGTCTTAGTAGAACATAATTTGTAGACTTTGTCTCTGGTAATTTAGAAGTTGAATAAGTTTATAAAGTTTGGTTATTCTTCAAATTTAGCGTAAATCAAAATCAGACATACAAATTAAATCGAACTCTGTAACACTTTTGTTGTATGGTTTGCTTACATGTTTGTACATTTGTCTGGATAAACAATCTCCCTCTCCTCGCCCAACAAAAACCCTTTCCAAATTGAGATTGACCTCCATAGAAGAATCCACAGCTTCTCTTTCATAAAAATGGCGGATCTTAGCTCACAATCTCAGCTCATCCCTAACCTCCCAGACGACATTGCCTTACAGTGCTTAGCCAGAGTCCCACGTTCCCATCACCCCATTCTCTCCATCGTCTCCAAATCTTGGCGTTGCATCCTAAGCTCCACTGCACTTTACACCACCCGATCAATCCTCCGTACTACCGAAACCTTCCTCTACCTTAATATCCGGGTAAACTCCACTTTCCACTGGTATACTCTCTTCCACAACCTTATTTTCACAAACCCAGAAAAACCCAGAAAGCTTTTTCCCCTTTCTTCAATACCCACCAAGCCGATTGGACCGGCGTTTGCAGTATTGGGCTCGAGAATCTATGTGATTGGTGGGTCTATTGGTGAAATTCCTTCGAATAATGTGTGGGTTTTTGATTGTAGGTTTAATTGTTGGGAAATGGGTCCGAGAATGAGAATTGGTAGGGAGTTTGCAGCAGCTGGTGTTGTGAATGGGAAGATTTATGTAATGGGTGGGTGTGTTGTTGATAATTGGGCGAGGTCGATGAATTGGGCTGAGGTTTTTGATCCGACGACGGGGTTGTGGACTGCGTTGCCGAGTCCGATTGAAGTTAGGGATAAGTGGATGCATGCTAGTGCAGTTGTGGGTGAGAAAATGTATGCAATGGCGGATAGGGGAGGAGTGGTGTATGATGTTGGGGGATGTGAATGGGGGAGTGTGTCGAAAAGGCTTGATTTGGGTTGGAGGGGACGGGCTGCGGTGGTGGGAGGGGTGTTGTATTGTTATGATTATTTGGGTAAGATTAGAGGGTATGATGTGAAGGAAGATGTGTGGAAGGAACTGAAAGGGGTGGATAAGGGGTTGCCTAAGTTTCTGTGTGGTGCCACGATGGTGAATTTTGGTGACAGGTTGTGTGTTGTGTGGGAAGGCAAGGGGAGGGGAAAGGAGGTTGACATTATGTGTGCAGAGATCGAAGTGTGGAAGGATGAAGATGGAGGGTTGAGTGGGAACATTTTGTGGTCGGATATGATTCTTGTTGTTCCTAATGGTGCCTCAATTGTGCAGTGCTTGGCAGTTGACTTGTGATGATTACTACAAACAAGGTGCGGCCATTCTCAAGCTTTTGCTAAGTATTTTATTTAACTAGCATGCAATCAATGATAATCTGACTGTTTGCTGTTGTCATTTCATTTATCTTCTTTATCCTTTTCAGTGTTTGGTGCTTTTACTCAGAAGCTAATGCTTCTGATATATTAGATGGAATCCACAATTCACTTACTAAGATGTAGTCTGTGGATTGTGGCTGTCTACTTGTGTGGTAAATGTGCTTATAGTGTTCGTAGCATGCTAGTGAGTGCTCTATCTTGCTTTGGTAGTTTCTTTTTTTTATAAACATTAGAGGAAAAACTGTGTTAAATCCAAAAGTAAGAAAGAGGTAGAGTGGTGTGGGTGCGTAACACTAAAATACTCTATTCTTAAATTTGGAGGGATACAATGTGTGAAAAAGACAATCTTTATTACTTATCAAATAAACTGTGTGAAAGAGGAAT